AGGCCGCTTCCAGTCGACTGCCATCCGATCCTCCGGATGGATGGGGAACCGATCCCCATCCGTCTGTTTTTAGCGTACAGGATCAGGTCGGATGCCGGCGGGGGTCATCGGACACTTGTCCGCTGACATCTGCCAGTCTATAGATGGTCCAATCGGGTCTGCCTGAAAAACCGACTGGTGAACCCGATTGGACTGTCAGTGTGAAAGGGGCCTTAGATGTGCTAGCTGATTTAGATACACTAAGCCAAACTCCAATTCACGCTTTATAATCAGTTACAGCAAACCGTTTTCTCCTTTTGGGAATAAAGATCTTGCATAAATAAAAGCTGATCATTGTAAGCCCCCCCCTTTGGTATTAATGGTTTGTCTCATCCATGTAAACTGACACATTCTTCTGGAGAGCTTGAGCTGTTGAAAAGCAACAAACTTACTGGCTGGATCTCCTGATGAAAATGCATGAAAGCCAACAAAAGAAAACTAATGCAGCCATCTAAGAACACATGGTTGTTGGTAGATCTAAAGCTGGCCATACACTACACAGTCTGATTTTACAATTTCTGTAGAATCTCCTTTATACTTACTAAAACTAGTGGTAGGACAAACCTAAAACAATCCATTGCCTTTTGCATTTGTATCATACTAGGCAGGCCCTTGCACTCCTTAGTTGTCGGTAGATCTAAAGAAGATTGTACAATCAGATTGTATAGTGTATGGTCACCTTTATCCTGTTCATACACATTAACATCTGACGATGCAATTTTTGTACAATCAACTTCAGGTCTACTAAAGCTATGTAATAGGTGTTGTACTTGATGCAATGTCCTTCAGGCCTGGTTGACACAACCTTTTAGTGCTTTTTGCAGAAACGGACTACAGTCCATTTAACATGGTTTCCTATGGGACACGTTCACATCTATGCTTTTTTGAGCCGCTGCATTTTGGTTCAATAGACTTCAATAAAGATGCTGCAGAGAATGCATGTAGTGCGTTTTTAACTTGTTTTGCATTTTTAATTTGCCCAGCAACAAGTTGGTCCTCAAAAAAAAAAGACGCAAAGTACGTCAAAAACGTCTGTGAAAAATATGCAAAAGGCACTGCAAACTGGACAAAACGCAATTTGCATTCGTGTGAACTAGGCCTTAGCTCTACCAACAAGTATAATCAGATTGTAACGTGCGGTGAGCACATCTGATGGGTGACTGCTGATAGCTTTCCTGCTGCTGGCAATTTGTTGAGATCACAAGTGGCAGTATCACTAAGAAGTTGTCCATTTGTCCCTCTGGAATTGCTGTCTCTGTAGCTGAGGCGGTGAGATGTGGTTCCCATCACTAACATCTTGCTGTGTCCGGGCACAGAGGGAGCGATTTGTTAGGGACGAACAGGCAGATCCAGCCATGGGTGATGCATCGCTAGCAGCAACAGCACTCCTTGGACTTCAGCCATGCACCTCCATTCATGAATTTTTGGCGGCCGATAGATCAGTTCATCACTACGAAATTATAAGCTTGTCTGAGAATTTAGAATAGAGGGGCAGAGAGCTGAGATTACATTCTGCAGAGCTCAGTGTGGCGATCTCTGAGAGCAGATTGGAGGGAAAGGGATACACCGCCCTCTACACAGCTTGCAGGAACAGAACTGAGCTGTCAATCTTCTGCTCCCTCCCCTGTCACCATTTTAGATCTTGGTGTCAGTAAAACTTGTCAGAAGTGATTCATGCTGATAGCAAAGGAACGAAGCAAGCAGACAGTAATGACACTTGATGCTTTGGACTGAGAGATGTACACACTATAGAGGGATATGTTTTGTTCATATTTCATGTCTGACGTTTACAACCACTTTAAAGATTTTAAAAGATTAAAGGATTAGATCTGGCTTGCTACTGACAGTTTCCTGTATCAGATCCACTGTTGGTCTTTTCTGTTTCAATCATTTATTGATTTTTTTCAAACGTGTAAAAGAATTACAGGATACAAAACTAACAGTAGTATTCGTGTATACATCCATTACAACCAGGAAATAAAGTTGGGTGAACTAGAAAAAAAAAACACCCCCAGAGTTATTACTGCTAAGCTACACAAAATGTATACCTGATATCGTACAATAGGTTGAGTGTTTACAACTGTCTCCTATGACTGTAAATTTATCAGTAATGCAGTGAGAGCTCCAGTGGCGCAATCGGTTAGCGCGCGGTACTTATACAGTAATGCAGTGGCCACATACCAGCAGAAACCAATAGACCGGAATTGTTAAAAATAGTAAAGTAGGCTGGTGGGAGCAATTGACCATAAAGCCAGGCCCCAATCATGGAAGCTGCTCACAAAGATTACCAATACATGCCTACCATTACACAGGATATCCCCCCTTCAGTCTACTATGAATGGTGCTGCTAGACTTATACACCTTACCAACCGATCAGCGACTGCTGCCCCTCTCTGCCAATCCCTTCACTGGCTTCCAATAACCCAACGTATAAAAGTCAAAATACTAACCACAGCATGCAAAGCCATCCACAACACTGCCCCTAGCTACATCACCAACCTCATCCGCAGATATTGTCCAAATTGCCCGCTCCGCTACTCCGAAGACATCTAGCTCCCTCGTCTTTTCTTCCCACAGTTGCCTCTAGGACTTCTCCAGAGCATCCCCCATCATCTGGAACTCCCTACCCCATTATGTCTGGTCAGCCCCCACCCTGTTTGCCTTTAAGCGATCTTTTGAAAACTCAATGATTCACGGAAGCCTACCCCACCACCACCTAAAAACTGTACTTGAGTCACCTCCATCAAATCATCGCCTGCATCAATCACCTTTTGTATCACCTCCCCCTTCCTTTAGATTGTAAGCTCCACAAGCAGGGCCCTCCTATTCCTTCTGTACTGTAATGTATTGTAATTGTACTGTCTCCCTTTATATTTCAAAACGCTGCACAAACTGTTGGCGCTATATAAATCCTGTATAATACCAATAATGCCTAAAGGGAAGGTATCGAGAACTACACTGTATGCAGTGTTGTTGGTAGGAGCAGGGGCGGACTGACCATTTGGAAACTCGGGCACTGCCCAAGGGCCCGGGGTCAGTAGGGGCCCCATGAGATGCCCCTGGTACCTTTTTCATAGGCTTTTTTGAGTTTGGGCAAGGACACGGGGGCCCCATGATCCCCTATTGCCCGGGGGCCCCATGAGTTGTCAGTCCGCCCCTGGGTAGGAGCACTGTTGGTCTTTTAGTTGCCGAGTCACCAGTCTTAGTGACCATATAATATGACTGTAGAATGTATTGCAAAGGCCACCTGATTTGATACAAATGAAATGGATTTATAGGTGTGTCCTAAAGGAGATTGTACAATTAGATCTTTTAATAGGTGACCACGTTACTGGGACCCATTGTACTGTTTAAAAGACGAACTGCAGTCACACGCATAATCCAAAAAGATACAAAATTGTATAGTTCTGACATTTTTAAAGCTTAATTAGAAATTTGGTAATATTTTAAACCTTACTCGTTTCTCATACCCCATGCTTCTTGTGCAAGCAGCCATGTTTACAAAGGGCAGTTGAAGCTCTGGCAGCAGTTTTCCTGCAATAGCCTGTAATAGGCTCCACCTCACCAGCCAATGAAATCTCTTCAATGCGTAGTATGATGCCTCCTGGTTGTACATGCGCGCTAAGCAGATCGCTCCCGATCCAATGTGTACAGGTTACTATAGCAGAGCAGCCCTTTGCTTACATGTTGTCAAAGCTGCTTCTGACCAAATGTATAGTAACCTTTACACATCGGATCAGAAGCGCTCTGCTTACTGCGCATGCACGACCAAGAAGCATTGTACTCCTATCTCTGCCCTCATCCAGCCCCCTCCAGACCCGTAGCCCTCCTCCATTCTCCCTGCCCTCCTCGCCTGCTAGTAAACGCTCACGAGAGTGAGAGAAAAAAGATACCTGAAGGGTCTATCCTGGGAGTCCTCGCTGTACAACACGTCACTCGACCTAGGCGAATTACAAGAACAAAAAAGCAGAAGTAACAAAAATAAGGTATTTTCTGGCACCAAATTTAATGTTTTACTGTCCAAAGTTAACACATCAAGGGCAGAAGATTTAATAGCAGCAAGGAGAAAAAAAACTGAAGGTCTGCTTTGTTATATGGCCAAATATAGCTAAATGAATGACACAAGATATAAGGTGAGCGCAGATAACATGGTAGCTGCTAGCACAAAAGGCAAGGTAACAAACCCACAGTAATCAATTCAAATGTAAGTGCAGCGCTAAAGCATAAGTGACAAATGCAATCATAGAGTGCTTATGTGAATAGAAGTGTTCATACAATAAAAACGTCTCAGATCATAGAATCCTAAATAAACTCTAAAAATCTGAACATAAATAGTCCGTGGCACTACAGGTCACAGAAGTGCGAAGTGATACGTGTGTGCTTTTTTAGCAATATTAGTGATTATACATAATGCAAAGAGTGCAGCGCTAATAGACAAATGAGTAAAGGTATGCCTGAGGCTCACCGTGAGATCGTACCGGAAAACAGTACAAATAAAAGGCCACAAAGTGTTAACTGACAGTTCTTTGATACTTAAATGAAATTATAAACAGGCTGGTGACTCCAATATTCCCATCAAGGCGTGAACCTTGGTGCCGTGCAGAAAATGTTAAAATTGCGCACTCTCCAGATGCACAATAAGTAAGCGCAATGATCAGCCAGATGTTCCCTCCTGTCCTGGAAAAAGGTGCAGCTCACACTGGGTACTCTCCCTCTGTGTTGGAGTGACGCCTATAGAGATCCTCTCTAGTTGTGGACTGTAGTAGGGGTCAACAAATTGTGTCCGGTGGCCACACAACTACCCCTGTGTGGCTCCTCCTTCATGGCGCCTAGTAAGCCCATAAATAGCACTGTAATTGATGTCCAGGCTGCTATGGCATCACCCCTTTTGTGAATGCACTAGATGTGCGAAACGCGTCGAGGAGCCACACACACCTGTGGCGTCACGCCACCGGATCAAGGAGGTCCGGTGGCCACACAGCTACCCAGCTGGTTAGTTTTATCAAGCGGTTTCCCGCCGCATGCTACTTATCTATCTTTTATCTGCTAGCGAAGGCCTTTTATGGTTTTATTATATGTGTTCACTTTTAATTCATTTTTTACATCCATTAATAAATTATTTGAATACTTAAAATACTACACTATGGATACTATTTTTTGCTCGACGTCGAGCATTTAATTCCCCAGGACCCATTGGTGACCGCCCTTAAGGCCCAGAGGAGAACACCACAATTTGCTGACCCCTACTACAGCCCACAACTAGAGAGGGCCTCTATAGGTGTCACTCCAACACAGAGGGAGAGTACCCAGTGTGAGCTGCACCTTTTTCCAGGACAGGAGGGAACCTCTGGCTGATCATTGCGCTTACTTATTGTGCATCTGGAGAGTGCGCAATTTTAACATTTTCTGCACGGCACTGTTTTCCGGTACGATCTCACGGTGAGCCTCAGGCATACCTTTACGCATTTGTCTCTTAGCGCTGCACTCTTTTCATTTTGAACATTTTAGAAGGTTTTTAGGTTTCCTTTTAGTGCATTTGCTGCTCCAACTGATTTGCTTCTAGTGCTCGCTGAACCATTCCTTATATATCAGTGATTTTACATAGTCCGCGGCACTACCGGTCACAGCAGTGCCTGGTGATCGTGAAACTACAAGGTGTTCGAGAGTGCTCATGGTCCAACATGGGAATCCACCACCTTATTATTGTTGCAGGTGCTTATATAGTGCCATCAATTTACGCAGCGCTTTACATATATATTGTACATTCACATCAGTCCCTAATCCTCAAGGGGCGCACAATCTAAGGTCTTTAATTTACATTCATATACTAGGGCCAATTTAGGCAGGAGCCAATTCACCTACCAGCATGTCTTTGGAGTGTGGGAGGAAGCGGGAGTACCTGGAGGAAACCCAAGCAAGCACAGGAGAACATGCAAACTCCAGGCAGGTGGTGCCATGGTTTGGATTCGAACCATCGACCCTAGTACTGCCAGGCGGAAGTGCTAACCATTTAGCCACTGTGCTGCCCTATATGGATGTGCACTCCCCAGAACGCTACTTGTTAAATAGCGCTAATTCTGATCCTTTTGGGGGTCTCAGGAAGCCATAAATAGGGACCGGACTTCTCCAGGGTCAGGGCTATGCAAAACCAGCCAAGGATCCTCCTAGGGGGAGACGCTCACCACAGGAGCTGAAGGTATGGCAATTTAGAGTAGTATTTGATTACTTTTATGTAAATAGATAAAACTAATCCACGTGGATACAGCAAAGCGTTAAATGCATAAAAGCACACCAAGATAGCCGCCGCTCTGAACTCCGACCGCGTGATGGCAACAAGTAAGGCTCACCCAACACGTTTTGTGTGCATGCGCGTCTTCAGGGGCATGCATACTCATGCTAATTTAATATTTATTTAATATAGGTATTTATATATTTTCATCAATTTATGCAGCACTTTATATAACACTGTACATTCAAATCAGTCGTTTCCCCAAGGAGCTTACAATCTAAGGTCTTTACCTCACCTGCATACACACATACTAGGGCCAGTTTTGGACAAGAACCAATTAACCTACCAGCACCTTATTAAGGTACCTGAGGAAACGGGCACAAGCACAGGGAGAACATGCAAGCCCATGCAGATCAAACTGAGGACCCCAATGCTGCCAGGCAAAAGTGCTAAATGCAAGTTATCTTCTATAAGGTTTAAAGAAGTTGTAAAGGCTCAAGGTTTTTTTTTTTTTTTTTTTTACCTCTTTGCTTGAAGGTAAAAATCCTTCTGTGTGCAACAGTCCCACCAGCCCCCATCCCCCCCATACTTACCTGAGCTCCATCATGATCAAGAGGTATGCACTATAGCCTTGGCTCTCCGGGGACACTCTCTCATCATTGGCTGAGACAGCAGCCAGATCCATTGGCTCACAGCCAGTGAGCCAATGAGGAGGAGCAGGGCTTAACCACAGCGCTGAGTATGAATTGACTAGTGTTCTGGGGGCACTTGGCAGGAGGGAGGGGCCAGAAGTGCCCGTGGGGCACCCGAGAAGAAGAGGATTGGGTCTGCTCTGTGCAAAACCACTGCACAGAGCACGTAAGTATTTCATGTTTATTTTAAATGACTTTAATATCTCGTGTATCTAACACAAAAATATAATATTGCATCTAACTCCCCCAGCAGCTACATAAGAGGTTATGTGAGGAGGGGAGGGTGGAACCTGGGTGTTACCTGGGCCAACACAGAGAGGTATAAGGCCGGCCATACATGGGTCGATTTTCGAACGATTTTCCATTCGAAAATCAGACCTAAGAATAATCGGCTGAATTTCACTCTGTTAGTGGGGCAATGGCAGCGGCTGATTTTTGTGGTTCCTCCCCATTTCATTCATTGCGCATGCTGGAAAATTCGTGAAAAATTACTGATTTTTGAAATCATTGGGGACACCATCAGATTACAGAACGAATTGTATTTTTGATCAAAAAATCGTTCGGAATTCAACCCATGTATGACCTGCTTAAGACATTGCCAGAGTAGGAGAGGGTTATGATGTGCAGAGTGAGGGGACTGTGTTAGGGAATTGGCTCTCCTGGATTAGTCAAATTTCAAAAGGAACATTGCAAGTCAATAAAAAAATATGGAAAGGAACAATGCTGTTTTTAGGTTGGTGATAGGGTCTCTTTAAAGGAAACCTTTTTTTAAAGGAATATGGAGGCTGTTGGTGCTGATCTACCCTCTAAAAATGCTAATTTCTTGGCAAACATTAGAACATATAAACTACCTACAGATTGTGTCCCTGGTGGGGATTGAACCCTCAACTCTGGAAGGTGCCCCCAGGTGGGGATTGAACCCTCAACTCTGGAAGGTGCCCCCTGGTGGGGATTGAACCCTCAACTCTGGAAGGTGCCCCAGGTGGGGATTGAACCCTCAACTCTGGAAGGTGCCCCTGGTGGGGATTGAACCCTCAACTCTGGAAGGTGCCCCCAGGTGGGGATTGAACCCTCAACTCTGGAAGGTGCCCCAGGTGGGGATTGAACCCTCAACTTTGCCCCAGGTGGGGATTGAACCCTCAACTCTGGAAGGTGCCCCTGGTGGGGATTGAACCCTCAACTCTGGAAGGTGCCCTCTGGTGGGGATTGAACCCTCAACTCTGGAAGGTGCCCCTGGTGGGGATTGAACCCTCAACTCTGGAACTTTTTAAGTGGTAGGAACATTTTTAATTTTCTGATTCAGGTAAAATTAAGTATAGCTGGCATTACAGATGTGAGGTTTGTTTGCTGAAGTGTACATGGCTGCCTGTCACTGGATACCTTCAATTCTCCATCTGCTGCTTGTGAACAATCATTGTGAAAGCAGCAAACTTGTCTTCTGTTGAGCCTCTGGGGTTTGGGTTTTTTTTTACACTGTGGAAAGCTTAATTTTTTTAAACTTTGTTAAAGGTAAAGCAGTCCACCTGTTGGCAGTTTTTGTGTTGTTGCTGGTCTGTAGAACATGGAGCCTGCGGGGACGTTGATCGCTGGTGTCATGCAGGCAGGGAGCGCCCTTTGTACTCTTGCAGCTATAGTTATCTTCCCGGAGAAGGGATCTGTTGACTTTCAGTCAGCAGCACACCGTTCTACGCTGACAAGACTCCCTGCACTGCCTTATCTGTACTGCGCTGATGTCAACCATGAAATGAATGTGCTGTCTGCTTATTTACAGTGCTTTGATAGTATCTGCCAAGAATGTGGAAAGCTGTATTTCTAAAGGGATGTTCCTGGTAGAAACTGTCTTCAGATGCAAATGAGCCCATCCTCCACATTTACTCCCACTGCTGGTGAATATAATAGACCTTGGTGGGTTTTTTTTTTTGTTTTTTTACAGTGGAACTACTACGCATTGTGTACCCTGTCCAGTGAACTTTCTTAGACAATAGGTCTCCCATGAGGCTTTGTTCCTGGGATGGTTGGTGGGAATGGTTAGCAGATACTGGGACTATTAATGACTTCAGGAAATGACATGTTCAGCCAAAGCTTAGAATTTACATACAAAACTATTAACTTTTTTTTTTTTTTTTTTGGTGACAAAAACACATTAGATGGCAACAGGTCATGTAGACATTACCGACTTCCAAAATGCCTTGCTTGCAAAAGATTTTTCCCAACACCTGGGGTGAGGGGAAGGAAGTCGGTTGGTGGCAATCTTGTGACTGGCAAAGCCCGGCCTGGAGCAGACCAGTGTCCTTGATGGTGATACCAGAATCCACAGTCCCGGGCCAGGATCATCACCATAGGATAAAATAGCCAGCAGTATGAACGTTGGGCACCATCTTTTTTTTGGCGCCTGGGTGGTCATGGAGGCTGCTCAAGACCCTGACCCCAAGGTAAGGCTGAGAGATATGAACCCCTCGCTTTTACCCCCCTGGTGGAGGGGGGGGAGCAAGAGCCTCAAGTGGTCCTGTTCCTCAGACACTAAGGAACCTCTTTCTACCTTCCTATGGTCTCTTACCTGTTAATGCTGGATTCTTGCTTGAAAAACATACTTGCCCAATGATTCCAGTGGTGTTCTGCCACTAAACTTGGGTTTCCTGTGGTCACAACCCCGTTTCCCTGCTGCCATCATTTTCAGTGTCATCCGAAGCAGTTCTGCAGCTGGCCACCAGTGATGGATGTCTAGGTCCAAAAGGTCAACCGTTTCACCAGACAGGGAGTGATGCAAAATCTGCACCAGGAAAAAAGGCTAGAAAGTAAGAATCTAGCAGGAGGTTTAGCCTTCATCTAAATATTCTTATTTCTGTCTTCAGCTAAACAGGCTCCTTTCACACGGGGCAGGATACGCTTTGCTTAGCAGGCAATCTGTCTGCTGATCCCCCTGAGCAGAGCAGGCAGATGACCGGTCCATATGCAGAATGGCCACCGAGTGTACTCTGTTTGTGGGTGGTTGGGGATTGACATAGAGCCCCTTCTGTCTGTCCCTCTTCTTCCCTTTTTTTTTTTTTTTTTTTTTTTTTTTTTTTGTGGATTAGATTGGAGGTAGGCAGGTGTAGACGGAGATATGTCCATAGGAATACATGAACCATCCAATCAGGTTGACCTGAAAAACCGACGGATCA